GCAAATCACTAATGTTCATGACCCTTCAGTGGAAAATTTGCCACAGGGAGAGGGGAATGGCACATGTTTGGTGAGATAAGGCTAATGGTGGCCAAAAAAGTAGCCTACAAAGCAGCTCTGATGTAGGAAGAAGGTCACATTGACCTGTGGGTAACTTGAGACTGGAGCTTTTACAGCTCTCTATATAAATTTGAGAATCCCAAGCCAGCGTGTAAACTCTTTATTCGTATATTTTACTATCTGTAACACTTTTGTCCTGAAACAGTTTTGGACTCTGTGAAAAACAGTCTGGTCAATGGTTCTCCAACAGTAATCCCAAAGTCCCTTGTTCCTCACATGTCGTCTTCATCCCCTGCAGTCCTCATCCTTCTGTACTGCTGCCTAGCAGTCAGGTTGTGCCATTTCACACCTTCTTTTGCAGCAAACCTTTTGTTCCCCTGCAAACTTTCCCTAATCCCAAAGCAGCCCTTCTTCTGCCAGCGCTGCTATCGCTTCCCACTAGCGACCACCACATGAGCAATGGTAACCGTGAGGGGGGCTTTTCTTGTTCCTCCCATTTTGCCTGGTCCCAGCTCACAATTAGGTGCTACATGGCTGTTTTCTCTCCTCCTCCCAGCACTCTTCCAGCAGAGGTGCTAAGTGATGCGCACAGACAGACGGACATCGCACACTGTTCTGAATGCAGGTACATTGCTTACGGACCGCACCAAGCACAAGGAGCTGGAGAAAGAGTAGCTTGCCTGTATGCCATGGGACCTTTCTCTTCCAGCTCCGATAAGCCTGGCTCAGCTGGCAGTCAAGCTGGGCTTTGTTGGCTACAAGTGAACCGTCTTCCTCCCACCCCTGAGTCCAGTGCGGGGAGTTTTCTTTGCCCAGTTCCCTGTTGGCTTAATGGCAAATGTCACAGTATTACTTGTCCTCCTGACCACAATTCCTGGAGACAAGAGAGAGGAGGCAGTTTCTTTTCTGGTACCTCATGCCACAGTGCGTTCATTAACTAAATGATCATGAAAGGTTAATCCCAGCCTGCCAGATCGGTGATGATGTCTGTGCCAACTGTCGTGGTTTGGGCTGGACTGGCCACTGAAATGAATGACGGATGCTCTCCCCCACCTCTCTTCTCCAAGGAGGGGAGGGAGAGAGAGAAAGAGACTTACGAGTTTAGAAAAAAAACTATACTACTTTAATGACAATATTAATAAATTAATAAAATAATAAAAAAGAAAATAATGAAATATATATGATATATACAAAACCCTGTCGAGCTCCCAGGATGACAATCATGTCACTGGCAGGCACGGAGAAAGTCCCGGACTAGACTCAGCGATGGACATGAACTGGATCTGGATCTGGATTCCGGAATGCACAGATCGGGATCAGAAGCAGATGAACAGACAGAGTCCTCCTTGGATGCCGGCCATGGAAGAAAGAGGCTGATGCCTTTGAACCCTCAGCTTTTATACTAAACATGAGGCAGATGGGATGGAATACCCTGTTGGTCAGTTTTGGGTCACCTGCCCTGTCTGCTCCTCCCCGCAGGTGGGACCCCACTACGCTTTTCTGCTTCCGATCCTCCAACGGGGCACACAACAAAGTTAGCTGATCTTGGTTGTTATAGCAGTAAGCATAAGCAAGAGCCTCTCTGCATACCATTCCGTGGCATAAATTATAAATAATCAGGTCTTACCACTCTGGGTGCAGACTACAGTCTTAAAAATACACCGTTAGTTTCAGAGAGTTCAGTTAGTTAGAAGAGGCTTAGCTGAAAAGTGAAATTGCTGAACAGAAAATCGGTTCTGTTTTACCTCAAACCAGGACACCAACACACGGTCATCCCTGTTCCCGCTGATGCTCTGCGATGCAACAATCCCCTAAAAGCAGCTCCGCAACATCGGTGATGCATCGCGCTCTGTGTACCCAGCTGACTCGTCAGGCCGCAACGTACATACGGAGCGCTGCAGGTTTGCGCCGCAGGTTTGTGCCGCAGGCCCAGTGAGTGCCAAACCAAGAAACTCTCAGTTTACCCCCTGTTCTGTTTTCCTCAACTCTTGTTCAGCCCCATCACCTGCCTACCCAGTGGCTGTCCAGCTTTTCCTGCCCCCCAGTCAGTCTGTGCAATTATCCCCATCATTTAACTGAGTACTCAGTGGAGCTGTGTGGTATTGGAAACTCTAGTGTCTCTCTGTTTCTGTTATCACCAAAGCAGGAGGAACAGACATTTGATTATTTAAATTTATTTCTCCTTTGTTCTATTGCTTAATTTTAATGGACCTTAACAAGGGCGTGCTAGTTGCATCTCAGAACTGTGGTGATGGTGTGCAAATCAGGCCTGTATTTAGCCCACACCACTGACTCGTCACAGCATTTCGGTTGGTAACTCACCTCGGACTGACTTCTTTCTACAGAGCACTTTCATGTGCTACGGGGAACACTCTGGCTTGGGGTTTTTCCAGTGAAGTTCATGCTGTATGTTGCAGAAAAGAAGGCTCTCGGGATGGGAGTAGTGTACCTTGACCTCTTTCCTTACTCGTAGTATACCTCTTCAGATTTGCCGATCAACCTTTCACACCGTGGCCCTGGGGTGACCAAGGCTTGAAGTGCTGGCCACAGAGAGAGGCTGGTGGTGATGGAAGAAGGTATGCTTTGAATAGAGACCATCCCTGAATCCTGAGCAGCATTAGCATGGGTGAGGCTGGGGAAGAAGGAGTCGAAAACAAGAGATTGGACCTAAAAAGCAGCAAGAGGCTGAGGGGCTGTGAGAAGAGGAAAGGGAGACAGGGTGAACCCTTGATAGAAGGAAGAACCCTTGATAACAGGGCAGATTTCTTGGAGGAGAAGATAAGGGGCTATAGGCTGCCACACAACTACTATATTCCTATCAGAGAGCTGCAGTCCTCACCTTGATTCTCTTCCGGAGCTGCAGCCAGCGCAGACAGGGTCTTGCATCCCTTGCACACCAGAGCACAGGGCAGAGCTCTCAGATTTGCTGTGGTTTGAGCCAGAGCCAGAAGCAGAAGGGCCACAGTCCCACAGCCCAGAGCTGTGTTGCATTGTGTGATGCTTCAGCTCAGGGCAGTGTTAGCCGGAGCATCTTTGATGCACACCACTACTCCATGGAGACTGGTTCAAGGGCTGGGCACTAATTTGGGCCAAAGCCTGCTTTATACACTTAGGCAAAAATAATTTTTCATCCTCTCTCTATTATTGATCACTCCAGTGCTGGCCAGCTCCAGATATGAATTACAGGAGATCCAGAGTTATTTGAATTTGCAACCTGCAGCAGCCGAATTGTTCCTGTGCTTAAATTAGCTGGAGGTCAGCAATCTCGAAACCTTTTCCTTCTTACCCTCTCTTCCCCTCCTCCCCTTTGCACTCCTCCACAGAAGGAGCAAAGTACACAGTTATACTGACTTTGTCAAGGAAGCCCTGGGTGATTTGGGGGAAGGGTGGCACTGCCTTCATGGCTGCAATGATAAAAGGGAGTGATTTGTAAGTAAAAGAAAAGAGGGAAGGACAAAAAGAAAAGGAATATAAGAGTAAAACATGATCTTTCTTTTTATCCACCCTTTTCCCCCAACAAACCCCTACCTCAAGTGACACAAAGATCTAGGTGGAAGAACAGTGAAGCGTCTGCAAGGCACCACGGTGTCTCTGCAGTGCTGCATTGCCCTGGCAAGGAAGAGCCAGAAAGTTGCTTAGGTGAAGGAAGGCTTTGGGCCACATTCAGGTGAAACATCAGCCTTTGCTTTCCATTCCTAATACGCCCGAGCTGCTGGCAAGCATGGCTGTGCTTAGGTGGGAGTGGGCAAAGCAGAGCTGCTGGAGAGCTCGTTCAGGTTGTGTCTGTGCCAAGGAGCGTGTTTGAACAGAGTCCCATGGGGCAAGAGTAGCGGAGCTCCAGGATCAGCCTGGCAGGAGCCAGTGGCAGAGAGGCAGGGCTAGATTTGGTAGGGGGGGGTCGGCACTTTGGCCTCAGCGGGTGACAATGTGCCTGGGGCAGAGGTAAAAACTCCACATGGAGCTAAGTTAAAATCTGAGCTCTCTGTTGCCCAGAACACAAAGAGGGGCTAGCAGGAGCACAGGGGAAGGACGCAGGGGGGGCTCCATCTGGGATGGTTTGCGCTGGTAGGGCAGCACAGGGGGGGATTTTGCTGAGTCAGCCACTCTTCCGAGCTGGAAGAAAAAATTCTTCCTGCCCCCCTGCCAGCACTTCATGCAGATCCAGGGTGCAGTTCCTAGAAGCGTCCCTACGCATGTTAGCAAGAAGGCAACCGTCTGCACATTTTGCAGCAAGAACAGCGTGGCAACTGGCGCAGCACAGAGCTGTGAGCTTGGGGTTAATGGCTCTCCTTAAGGGAAACTGGGGATGGGGAGTACGGCGCTGACGGGCTTAATCTGCTGGCTGCCAGGGAGTGGCAAAATTGTTGTTCTTCCTGACTCCGAGGAAGCTTGCAGGGAAGACCCAGGACTGGAAGCAGGCAACCCACCAGCCGCAGGGCTGGGGGCACATAGTACAGTGCAGCCCCCTTCGTTACAGCATCCGCTTTTGCAGGGACGGCAGGCTGGGAAAACTACAGTTCCCAGCACCCTGTTGTGCATGTCCCTGCAAACTACAGTTCCCAGAACCTTATAATGAGCCCAGAGAGGATGTCTATGGAAATAAATGCTGGTGATTTTTGCATAACACCCCGCACCTCCGAAGGGCTGGCCGGCCCTTGGTTAGCGAAAATGGGAACGGGGGAAAAGCCAGGGAGCGTCAGCGCTGTGGGGCTGTGGGTTTGCCCGCTCCTAATAGCCGCAGCGATCTCCTCCAGCACAGAGCATCCTTCCTCTCCTCGGGACCCCCTTGGTGCTCACAGGGAGGACCCTGTTTCCCCCCGGGAAACGCGGCTGCTGTGGAGGGAGAGGCAGATAAACTACAGATCCCAGCATTCCCCGGCAGGCAGCACCTGCCGCCGTCCCTGCACGCCGGCAGGGAAGCGGGGGTGAGGATGAGGATGGAGGGCAGGGAGGAGATGCAGGGTGCCGTGGGGCTGCACTGCACCTGGGACATCCCTCCACCCGCTGGCACCCAGGCCAAGTGGGTGAGGCTCAATGTGGGGGGCACGGTCTTCCTCACCACCAGGCAGACCCTGTGCCGGGAGCAGAAATCTTTCCTGTGTCGCTTGTGCCAGGGCGAGGAGCTGCAGTCGGACCGGGTAAGGCAGCTGGGTTGCCTCCTGCACCGTGCCCCACCGAGCACGGGGAGGGATGCAGGGATGGAGCCAGACCCTGAGAGCTACAGGAGTAACTGAGGAAAAAATGCCTGCTTTTTCTCCTCCTTCTCCTGTGCAGGGTTTTCCCTTGCCAGATCCCACCTTGCTGTGTTGTAGCCTGGCACCCGTCTTCCTGAGCTAGGGAAAAGAGAGGCCATCTCCCCCCTGCCCCGGCTCTCCCACCTCTCTATCACCCCACATCCCCTGGGTCTACCTCCCAGCTGTATCTGCCTGACTCAGCCATGTCCTCTGTAAGGGGAGTCTGCTCTCTCACACAGGACCTGTATGCACAGTTGCAGAAGGAGATTGAGGCCTATTTTTTTGGCTTTCTCAGCTGAGTTGGTCCATGCTGAGGAGGGCACGCTGAGCATGCCAATACAGGAGTTAAAATCCAAGCTGGGCTGGCTTGGCTAGGGACTCTCAGGGGCCCATGGTTTCCAAGGAGCCGTAGAAATAGTGGATGTTTTTGCTTAGATTAGTATTTTCTTGTAGTCTGGAACGTTTGACGGTTGGTTAGCAGTTTCCCATGGGTTTTTTTTTCTACTTGTGGTCTATCTCTGTTGCTAGGATGAGACTGGCGCATACCTAATAGACCGGGACCCCACCTACTTTGGACCCATCCTGAATTTCCTCCGTCATGGGAAGCTGGTCCTCAATAAAGATATGGCTGAAGAGGGTGAGTCTTGGAGCTCAGAAACTTCCCACTTAATATTGCTGCTGTCGCCACGACACAGTAGGACTTGTTGACCTTGTCTCATTCTTCTTCTGGAGGATGGTGTTAGGGCATTTGAGAGGACTATCCCTGCAGCTCTTGGAAAGCATACTGATATTTACTAAAGGGGTTTGGAGTAGGTGAGGAAGGCATCCTACAGGTGTTGTGGCTTCATGACTGTTTGTTCAGCAGAGATATCACCAAGATGGAAGTAGGCAAGATCTCTGCCTCAATAAACCATTTTATTACTTGTCCCTGATCCACTTTTAACCAGGTTCTGTGACCGAGTTTTTTGTTAATGACTGACTGTTTCTAATTAGGAATGAAAACCAAGAAGACCAAACAAAATCAAGCTCATCTCTTCTACTGACTGTAATAAAGACCATCATTAATCAGTGGTATGCGATGTTGGCTACTAGTGCTCTGGTGGGTTGTGGCCTTCAGCAATTCCAGTGGAGCAAGCCAGACAAACCATTCCTTCATTTGAAGTTGATAGAGGGTCCAATAGGATAACTCAGTAACATTGTGGTATTACCAGCCAGCAGTCCCCAATGCCTCGTTATTTTTTGGATGCTAGAGTCTAACAAGGAGCCAATTCCAAAGACAGGCTGTGCTGTCCAGACCTTGCCAAGCACAGTTTCTGCATGTTCATTAGTCTTCTTGCCTCTCTCTCTTACATGTTTTCACCTAAAGCAAGGAGAATTTTCTTCAGAATTGTATTATAATTCCAAAAATATATCTAAGCAATGGTACAGAATGGTAGTAAACACAATTCTGAGGTGTTTTCTACTTGACATTTCTTGTAATGCTGAGGTCAGACAGAGTTCATCCACAGGTTTTAGCATCAAATCCAAAGCATGAACAGGAGTCCCGTTCATAGTTTAACATTGTCTTTTGTCCCTGCTGCACACACTCAGGATATATAACTAACTATATATATATATAACTAACCCATTAGATGATTCATGGCTGAATGAGGGACTCGGAAGAGGTCTGAGTGTGTCAGATAGTGAAGGATCAATCTCCCCACCTGCATTGTCTATGTACTGTCCTGGGAACAATGTGAGTGTTGGCTCCTAGCCACCTTTCCCTCACCAGCCCTCTGGGAACCCACCTCCCTTTCCCTGAAGGCCTGTTGGCAAACAAGTGCATCTCAGGAGAGGTGATGGATGCAGATACCATAGAGAAAAAAAACAAAACACTGTTCTGTTTATCTGCTTTGAGGTGAAGCACAGGGGAGAGAGCCAAAGATCATCTAAAGTCATATGGAGCTGCAAGGTGGGTGCAACTCCAACTGGCCCAGGAGGAAAGTTGGGATTTTCTAGGGTCTTTTGGTGACAAGGTGAAAATAAATTGTGGTCCTCTGCCTTAAGAAGAGGACCTGAACAAGGTGATAACTAGTGGTCATTGAGAGAGACTGGAGCCTACATTTATTCTCCTCGGCTAGTTATCTGGGAATGGTATTAGCAGTCCTCAGCACAAGCCTTCACTGGCAGTACCTGTTTCTTATTAGGAGGCAGCATAAGGAATTGGGGTGAGCATTAGAAACGCAATGCAGAGAGCCAGGGTTCAATTCTCTGCAGTAAGAGTTTCAAGCAACAGAAACCTGTTAAAAAGTGAGGCTGCAGTGTCATTTCTCCCTATGGAGCTTGGGAAGCTCAGAGTTTATCTATTGCAAGCCAAAAACCAAAGATGGGCTATTAACTTTCTGTCTTTGTGGTCCTTCTCTCTTCCTTTCTCAGGGGTCCTAGAAGAAGCTGAGTTCTATAACATTGGTCCTTTAATCCGAATAATCAAGGATCGACTGGAGGAGAAGGACTACACAGTAACTCAGGTATGGAGAGAGATGGCAAGGAAAGATAGAGTGGGGTGGGGGAAGGAGGGAATGTAGAAAGGGAGAGGTGAGTCTAGAGGGAGGACAGACTTGGGAGAAGCAGCAAGGAACGGAAAGAAGCAACTAATTAGAGTTTATGTGCTAATGTCTACTTAGCAAAATCTTGCAGGGGACAGGCTACCACCATTTCAGTTACAATAAACAAGTTACGGGCTTGTTTCACATCCCCAGAAGTAATGCTGGATGTAGCCCCTGAAACCAAATCAGCTCCTCTAGCTTTTGGAAGAAGGCAGCTAGTTGCTGTGGGATATGGAAGAATGTTTGTGAGGGGAGCGGAGGCGTTGGGAGGAGGGCTCTGGTGTGGGGAATCTTGGGAGTGTAATCACAGGTGAAGGGATGTCTGTGGAAGAGTTAAACACAGACAATGAGGCACAAGGAATCAATCCTGTGGCGCAACCACACCTTGTATTGGCCAATAACCTTTTAAAATCTGTCTTCTGGGAGCATTGGCTGACATCTCACTTTTCATCATGTCTGCCTTAGGTTGTAAGCCTCCAGCAACACAGTCACTTTGTGCTCACAAACCCCCATCAGCATTTGTGGCATTTGCATAAATGACTTTGTAATGACAAATGCAAACTCCCCATCGAAAAAGCCCAGTACCTTCTGGGGACAATGCAGGAAGCTCTCAGCTCAGTTCCTTCTCTCCAGAAGAGATACCATTGTTCTTGCTCACCACAACACCATAGTAGAAAGCTGGGTTGTGGTTTCCATTCCCCTTTAGCCTGGGACATGGGGAAGAGGACAGGGCTGTCGAGGAGGGGTACTACCACTTCCTTCTGCAGGAGGGCAACAGCCTTTAGCATCTGACTGTTGTCAACATGCTCTGCAATTTTGCTGTCAGGTGCCTCCTAAGCATGTCTACCGCGTGCTACAGTGCCAGGAAGAAGAGCTCACTCAGATGGTTTCCACTATGTCAGACGGATGGCGCTTTGAGCAGGTATGGAGAGGGTAGAGGAAGCTGGGCAGGAGTGGTCTTTTGGGGAAAAGATCGTGGATACCATACAGTCCCCAGGCAAGTCACATTCCCTCTCTGAGAATATTGGGTCATTCGTTGGCAGTGCTGTCACATGGGCTGTCTCTTGCCCCTTCTCTAGAAGTTTAGAGGATGCTGTGTGAGGTTAAGCTGTTTTGCGTGCTGGCTGTCTCCTCTCCTGGTTCTCTGTGCTGCCTCCTCAGCTTAGTTATGAGGCTTTTCTACTGAGGGTAGGGTTTGAACGCCATGCTGCATGGTGGGCTTTCTGCCTTGCTCCCCAGGTGAAGTGGATATTTGCAGTAACATGCACTTGTCATCATTTCTAGCTTGTGAACATTGGCTCATCTTATAACTATGGGAATGAGGATCAGACAGAGTTCCTGTGCGTGGTCTCCAAAGAGTTGTACAACTCCCCCAATGGCCTGAGCTCTGAGCCCAGCCACAAAGCCAAGGTGAGACCAACTTTGCTATGGCCCTGTTCCCGTTCCTTATGAGATCCTTCACTCTTGTTTGCTCTGTCTTTCTTTCCTCTCCCCACTGGGACTGTGGGGCACCTCAGTGGTGAAATACAGCGTCTTGTCCCGGTGTTCGGCACCACAGCATTACACCCATTGCCCAAAAGGAGGAGTGCGTGTGTTGAGAGTGGTGGTGTCCGGCTGTGTGTGGCAAATGGCTTTAGCAAGCAACCCTGGCATTTCTCATGCTACTCTAACATCCCCCTCATGCCTCCTCATGACCATGCTGTGTGTGTCACCCTGAAGGTGATTTGCAGTGAAGGTTTCCCTGAAGGTTTTGCAGTGTTCTCTTTCCTTTTGCTGAGTCCCAGCCTAAGGGGCAGGAGATGACCTGCTCCCCTTTTGAGGGAAGGACAGAAACGTGTAGCAGTGCCTGTAGACACCTTGGATACAGGAAGGAGCACTAGTGACAGATGAGAGTTGTTGGGCAGTGGGATCACAGCACTTGTAAGCGGGTTAGATAGCCATGACATGATGCTCCAGAGGAAGACAAGTCTCTTTGCTCCCTGACCCAGAGCTGTCCTGGCCATGGGGAAAGGTCCCTTTTTATTCCAGTGTCATGACCCTTGCTTTATTCTCTTGTGTGTCAGTGTGTCAGAAAGAGCTGCCATGGCTCATCTTGCAAGTATCTCCACTCTTTCTTCCCTTTGTCCTGCATGCTGGGCCACAGAGCACAGAGGAGGACCTGGAGGAGGAAGAGCAGGAGGTGGAGGAGGAGGCAGAGGCAGAAGCAGAAGCAGAGGAGAAAGGTGCAGCAAATCCTTGAGGAAAATGATAAAAATAACCCCCCAAGCATAGACCCGTCCACCTTTCTGGTGAGAGCTCACAGCTAGTAGCAGGGAAGGATTAGGGCAGGTGTGGGGTGCGGGGGCAGTCCTCTCCAGGAGCGGGAGTCTCTCTGGAGATAAAGCTGACAGGGGAGAGCTGTTACCGTGGCTGCTGCTTTGTATTTTAAACTGTTTGGTTTGTTTACGGTTATGTTTTTTATTTGCAGACTGTCGATCTATTCGGGATTGCACTAAACTCTTTCTTCCTCCAGACCCTCCCTCCTGCTCCCCTCCCTGTCCATCCCAGCACTGTCACCTTCCTCCTGCCTTGCCCCACTCCCCAACCTCCAGAATCCTTCCCTCCACTCTTTTGGCTCCCCCTCTCCTCCCCCCCAATCCAGTGCTCCGAGTGGTCCCTGCCGGGGTCCCTGTCTCTCTCTGCTCCTCACTTTTCCTCCTCTGCAGGTACGTTACCTGTCTGCACTCTCCGCTCCCGCCAGCCTGAGCTCTGCATGAGTGACTCACTTCCCTCTTGTGGGTATGGCCCCGGTTTGTAGGGTTTGGGGAGGGGAAGGAGGGAGGGCAGGTTGACTCATTCCTAAGGTGGCTTTTCTGATTCTCATCCTATGTGTGCCTTTCTCCGCCAAGCAGGCCCTACGGCTCCCGACCAGAGGCTCTGGCAGCAGAAAAGAGAGAGCAGCTGGGAGAAATGAAGAAGGGGTGGAAATGAATGCAAAAGCAGGCAGGGGTGGCACGGGGAAAGGGTGGTGGTGGTGGGGGGAAGTCTGCCACGTGTCTGCCTGACATGCAAGCCAGATCGCTTCTCCAGGCTGCCGCCCGCAGCTCCTTTGCCTGCCAGCCTAAGAGAGGTTTGCAGAAGGCAGCCTGTTTTTTTTCCCCTCCCCGCTCTCTCTTCCCTGGGCTTTTCCCCCACCGCCTCTGCCCCAGTGAGAGCACAGTGGGAGAAGGTGGCAAAGGCAAAGTGGAAGCGGCCGGTCCCCGCTCCAGATGTTCTCGCAGCTGCGTATGAAATAAGCCTCTGTGCTCTGTCTGCTGCTCAGGGAGGCTGCCTGGCCAGCGTGTGTGGGGCTGGGTATAGAAAGCTTTAGGAGGAGGATTCCTCTCTCATACTGGAAAACTGTGGGGCTCTTGTTAAACCAGCGGTGCTCAGCGCCACTGTCCGTCCTGGTGGAGGGCACTTGTTAGCTGGCTGACATTTTGCTCTCCCTCTGTTCAAGAGCCTCCTTGTCCACGGCTGTGGGACCTGGGTGTTATTCTCTTAAGAGTCTGTATGTTAATCACGTGGACTTTTCCTTCCTTTTCCTTTGTTCTCCCACCCTCAGTCCTCATCTTTTTTCTTTTTCTTCTGTTCTTATTTCCGCTGCACTTCCACTTTCCTATTCCACTCTCCCCTCCGTGCCCAATCACTTTTTTTTCCCCTGCCATTGGTTTTGTTTCTCTCTTTCTTTCTCTTTTTCTAGCTGTTACAAGCCAGAGGTCTGAGGTTGTGATCCCGACACTTCACTCCAGCCTTTTAGTTTCTGGTTTATATCTTTATTTTTGTACTGCAGTGTACGGCAGCCTCTTGCCCCACAGTGACACTCCCCAGCCCCCTTCGCTCTTCACACGCAGCCATTCTTTTTTACAAACTCACCTCGGAGACCTGAGCCTCAGCCCTGGAAGAAAGCAGATGCTCCAAGGAGCCCCTGGGCTGCAGTAGGGGCTGGAGCCCACAGCCCCCTGCCAAGCCGAGCAGGCTGGCTTTCCTTAATGTCATAGTGGCCCCTGCTGGGGACATCAGTGATCAGCCACTGCAGTCTGCGGTGCTTTCCCGAACACCCTGGATGCCACTGGGACCCCGCGGTGGTGGCTGCTGCTGTAGGACCGACCAGTCCTCACCCTTTTGCTGTCGCAGGCAGCTGGTCTGGGCTTGCAGCCAGAAGGCAAAGGCAGAGCCACTGCCCTTTTCTTGGCCACCTGCACTGCTCGCGGGGTGTCCCTGTGCTGGGTATCACGCTCCTTGGGGCCTCCCGCCCTGTCTCCCAAAGCAGCCCTGTGTTGGTGGAGCGAGGAGGAGACAGGCGTGCTGCCGGGGTCCTGGGAACACGCTGGCACCTGGTGTCATGTCTGCTAGCCAGAGGAGATGCCTGCCTCGGGGAGCGGGGCGTTTGCTTCACCCATGTGTCTGAGGACACCAGGTTGTAGCTCCTGAATAAAATTCACAGGCTGTTCCTCCTTGCCGCCTCTCATTTCAAGTGACAGAAATTTGGTGCTGGTAGAAAAGGGTGGGAGCTGGAGTAGAGGAGTTTGGATTCATCACCTGGAGCCATCAGAAGCTGCTTGTGCTGCTTGTGCTGCTGCATCTGGGAGCTGGAGGTACTTCCCACCGCATCTATGCTGCATCCCCACGGCAGGCAGCTGGGCTACAGAGCAGGTTTGCTTATTGATATCTGCACCCCTAAACCATAACAATAAGCAAGGATGACCATTCTAGCCAGTGTATTGACCCCACTGTGCCTGGGGGACAGCTGAGACGGAGGGCAGGGGTGCAAAAACTTTTGCCGGTTGCCAGTGCCAAGGTTGAAGTTTGGTCAAAAAGATACAATCCCCAAGATAATTTTCAACAGAGTAAGGCAAACTGTGGCCAAAAAAACCCACTCAAATTAATTTTATTTCTAATTCCAGAGATTGGCCCATTGTGTGTATATATATATATACACGCACACATATATATATGTATATTTTCCGTAAAAAAACCAAACCCATAGCAGTCACTGTTGAAGCACTGTGCCCTGAAGCTTTCTCCTTCACCTCCTAGATTGTCTGAGTTAGGAGATGGGAGCAGTTGAGAATCCCTCAAGTTACAGGTATTTAGAAGGGCTGAGGGAAGGGGATGGGAGGCTGCTCCAGAGTTTTTCCTGTGGGGCCGGGGCTTTTCCCTGAGGAAAGAGCAGCAGTGGCGGCTGGGAGCTGCTCCAGCGGGGAGGCAGGACGCACGCTTGGAGGGGTGATGCTGGACTCCTGCCTGGGAGTCAGTGAGACGTGAAGAGTTGCCTGGCTGAGCTGAACAGCACACGCCAGCTAAGAAAAGAAGCAATTAGGGAGATGGAAGAGGAGGAGTGATGGGAGGGGAAGGGGGAAGAAGGACGAGCAGCAGGAAGGAAGAGGGAGGCAGATTGATTTCACAGTTACTGGAATCTCTAACTACATCAGTCACATTTTCTTTCAGCAAATGTTCCAGCATAAGATTGTGGCTGAATCACATGGTTCATTGAAAGTTCAGCTCCCCGTATTCCTTTTCTCAGAAACCACCAACTTGGGACTGTTACTGTGTGTCATGTCGTCGTCCATCCTGTGTGTCCCCCCAACTCTTTTGGGTGGATGGCCTAAAAATACCTTGGGGTGCTCCCTGGGAAGCACTGAGGGGGAAGAGGGTCTGCCTCCTTTTCTATACAATCCCCACAGCAGGCTTTTTTTACTCAGCTCAGAAGAGCATCCTGGGTCTGACAACATCCCACACAGAAACTCTCTCTGAGAGGCAAGTGAGCAAGATCAGGAATGAGTGCTGTGTGAGTGATGGGGAGAAGGCAGAGATGCACTTTTCTCAGCTCATGGTTTGGTTTATCCAGCCCAACACTTGAGTGATCCTGGTGTATACTCCATAGTGATTTGGACGTGCGCATCCCATTCCCCAGCTGACCAAACCAGCCAGAAACCACCTGCCACTGGGTTCCTTGCAGGCCAGCGGACCTCCAGAATCACCCTAGAGAAAGGGAAAGAGAAATGGGGTGATGGTGATTCACCAGCTTCTCCTGCTGGATGATTACACTGGCTTTGAGTCTCTCTGTGTGCAGATTCCTTTATCCCCTCAATTCATGCCTGGGACATCTGCAACATCCCTTGGACCTTAGGCAGATGTCAAAACCAGTTTCCAGTGCAAACATCCGACCCATTGTTGCATTCCTTCATCATGCAAATTCCTCCCCCTTAGCCAGCTCTCAAGAAGCTGACAGCTCTATTGTTTCCTTCTGCTCTGTGTGGTATTTCCAAATATAAGGAGAGCAAGGAAGCTGGTGGACTTTAACTGGATACTTGGAGGTATGGGAGACAGGAATTCCCTGAGATTGATGGTAATGACAGAACAAACAGGTTACTGTGTGTGACGGGTACTAATGAGTCTGAGAGGGGAAGAGATTGATGTAGACTCAGAAGTGGGAGGTAAAGAGTGGAGAATGTACTGAAATGAGAAAAGAAGTTTAAGTGTATTGGGATCCTGTCTAAGGCAAAGATGCTGGGAAGAAGTGGTCCTCTGAGCTGTTGGCCACTTAGATGAGAGGAAGGGCTGGGGGAGTAAGGCATTTTATGGTCCCTTGTTTCAGGCCATGGAGTGCATTTGGGGGACTTGGGACAGACCCCACCTCCGGTAGCCAACCCCGATCCCACAACTCCTCTGTCACCTGGCAGGCATCCTTCTTGCCCTTGTGGTACCCAGCACACAGCATCCTGGGAGAAATCATGTAGTGATAGGCCTCACTGCAGATGTCCTGCTGGATGAGCTGCACGTCCACTTTCTGCAGAACATTGCTGATGTGCCCTGAGGGGTAGAGCATCAAAAGCAGTGCAGGTGAGCAATGATGGAGCTTCCCACTGATTACTGTGATCCCTCAGTCCATGCCCATCTCACTGCATGCTGAAAGCTGCCATCTGAATTACTGTTTTGCCCTCCTCTGGCATTGCAGTCTCTGACTTTCAGCAGAGCATGGAAGGAGTAACATTCCCCTGCAGTCCCTTTCCCTATAGGGTTATGTTGTGGGCACGTCAGCTTTTGGGACAAGGGGGATTCTGGTTTGGGGAAACCTCTGAGATGTTAGAGTTTTGAATTTACTTCTCATTGAAATGGTTGTTAAGTTCTTCTGGCTAAGTACGCAAACCAAAGTGTCCACTTCTGGATAGACCCCTGAGCATTTCCATTCAGGAAGCAACTGGAAAAGGAGTGTGAGTGTGAGTGTGAGTGTGAGTGAGGTGAGCACATCTGACCTGGGTGAGCACATCTATATTCCTGTGCCACACACTACTAGAGAACAGCCTGGACCTGTTTGTTGGTCTTATGGGGAGGGAACATGAGGGGTCATGCCCCTGCATCTAAACTCTTCCTCACAAAACAGAATGGACTCATCCATACTACCCCATGGGAACAGGTCTTGGCCCATGCTGTCTGCCAGCTGTGTGTGGGTGCTATGCGGCCAAAATGGTACCAAGGTGCAAGCTAACAATTACACGGTGTGATCCTCAGGGGACAGTACTCAGACCCTGCACTGCTCCCATTGGATTTACTAGTCCAGGTGTTACTGGGGGGACCCATGTCCTACGGTCTTTGACATGGGGAAAATGTTGCTGCAGGGGCCACAGACAGGTGTCCCCAAGAGATCCAGTCCTGGTTTGATGAAAAGCAGTTTTTCATCTCTGCCCTCTCTGCTCAGGCTCTGTCCCTGGGGAATGACCCAACAGGAGCACACATGTCTGTGTAGGCATTGGGTTGGGCTTTGGGAATGGGGCTGCTCCATGCTGTGACCATGGCTGAATAGCCCCTTGTCAGACCCCTAATTCCTGAAGGGCTATTCTAGTCTTTGGATGAAGGAACACATGCTGTCCCCATATAGCTTACCAGACTCTCATGCCTGCCTCTCCAAATGAAGTTTCAAAGCACTTGACAGGCAACTTTGGCCAACCTGTGACCCCAAATTAAAGGGGCTGAAAGAGGCACAATGCTTTAGGGTGAACAGAAGTCTATTCTGCCTATCCCACATCTGAACCTATGGTTCCACCTTGGCTCTGCTACTGTAAGCCACCAGCAAAGTCCTTGTGCCTACCGCCTTCCTTGAGGGCTCCCCAGCCAGTGATCCAGCAATGAAGGCCAGGTTCAAAGAGATGAGAAGGGGCAGGCAAGCAGATGGGCTGGATTAAGGGTGAGATGATCACAGGATGGTCCAGTTGGAGCAGGGCTACATCATAATCATGGCTGTCCTCCTCGTAGTAAGGGTGGAGGAAGAGGCGGATCACCTTGAATGACACCTCTGTGTGGCTGGTGGCATTCTGCAGATATTTGCCCAAGTAAACAGTCCAGATGGAGGCAGAAGCCAGTCTGTAGGACACAACAGAGAAGATAACTCATCAAATGAACAGAGAAGGATGGGAAGAGCCTGGCTGCTTCTGTTGTGGTCTTTTGAAGAGTATCTGATATGGATGATCATCTCCCTCAGAGGACCCTCTTTTTAAATTTGTCTACTGATTTCAAGAAACTGATTGGGACATCTCTTTGATGCCTTGACATACTTGTACAGTGGGACCAACTTCGGGCAGACACTCCTACACACAGGTAATTTGCTCATATTTGCTTATTTTCTACCATTTGCTACCACCATCCATCCATCCTGCATTGAGACCCTCCAAGATGGCCAAATTTAGCATGCACGGACCACTCAAAAGGCCTGCCCTCAGTGCTGGTAGTCTTCCTTGCAGGGTTGTAGGACTCAAGTAGGAGTGTGGCAGGACCAGGGTGAGGTGAGAAGCAGAGCTGCAAAGCAGCCCCAGTCCTACCA